GTGTAGGCATAGTTGGTCGTGATGCAGTCAAACCCTAGGACCGTCATGTAGAGGAAGGCCAAGCCCAGCCCGGCCAGGAACACGGTCTGCCAGCAGTATGTCTCCCAGCCCTCGCAGCACGTGTGGAGCAGCCTCTGCGTGTTTCAAAAGCATGGAAGAATCCCTTTGGCTGTGGCCTGTTTTCCTCCAATGTTAGACCTGTGATCCTTTGGTTTTTGCAAAGTTCTGGGTTTGCTGATGAATGTGTCAGTGTTTTCCTCAGAGTCCATTTCACCTAAAGTAAAATCTGGATAAGCTGAAAGTCAGTACCTGCCCACGTCCCCTTTGGCCCACCCCAAACACATGTGCTTCTCTGGCGGATGGTCCCGGTGTATACTGATGGCCTCCTGTCCCCAGGCACCTGTGTCTCTGTCTCTGCCTGAAGATTCTCTCTCTCTCTCTCTCTCCCCCCCTCCCCCCTCCCCCTCTCTCCCTCTCTCCTTCTCTCTCTCCCTCCCCTCCCGTGGAAAGTGTGTGGCAGACAGGCTGTAACTTTGCTGGGACAATTGTGAGGTGCATCCTGCACAGTCTCTCAGGAGGTCCCCATTTCTCCACTTCTCCCTTTGTGGGCTTTTGTCCCTTCTCTGCCTCCTTTCCCATTCCCTCACCAAGTTCCTGGGAGCACATTCCAAACAGATTACTTTTCACCCCAAATCCTGCCCCTAGAAGCACTCCTGAGAGAATTCAAACTGAGACCCACCATCGGGTCAGGAAGGCAACACTGACAGGACAAGATGGGGACAAGGAGGGGGAGGACAGAGTTTCAAAGGCTTGAAACTTGGTAATGAGTTCCCAGAAATAAGGGTAGAGCCTTCCTGTGGCTATTTTTCTGAAGACACAGATACTTATGGGGTGTGTGTGGGGGCGGTAAACTGAAGCCTTTTAGTTTTCCAGGATATAGTAGACAATAATTATAAACAGATTAAAAAATATATAACTATTCGTGAGAAGTATTCAGCACGAATTAAGTTCTGTGAAGGACTCAAGGAGCTAAAAATGGCTTTGAAGGAAAGACACAGGGACAGGTTAAGTTACATCCATTTTAGACCAAGAACAGGGGGAAGATGAGGTTCTGCATGATAGAAATGAATTTTTTGTCAGGGCAACTTCAAAAAAAAGCTAAAAAATAACAACAACAACAATGAAAAGATAGTTAACATTGATTTAAGCTTTCCTCTATGCCAGAAAATGAAATACCGCTTTGGGCAGACTGTCCTGTTTAATTGTCACAACATGCCTATGAAATCTGTTCCATTATCATCCTCGCTTAACAAATAGGAAGACAGAGAATAGGAACAGATCATTCAGCCTTGCAAGGTCACACAGGTGATACATAGCAGATGTGAAGCATGAAGTTCTATCTATCTACCTAGGTATTTATCCATCCATTCATCATCTAAATATGTCCACCATGCGGTCTTTACAAAATGTATATTTATTCATGCAGTGGAATCTGGTGGGACTTCATTCTAAAACAACTTCAGAAAAAAGTTATGAATTAATTATAAGTCTAGAAAGAGAAACTGAGATAAGAAGTAACTACTGAACTGCATTGCACAGGCAACTGGGCAACACTATCAGTCGACAGGCGGAGATGGCTCTCATTTGGGAGAAGAGGGTCACATTTATTGGCAGGTCTTCTTTCCTTTCATACCTACGATACTGTTAGAGACTTTCTAATTTAAAAAAATGTTAAACAGTATTGACAGAAGAATGGCCAATTCATAATAATCTGACCAAAGTGCAGAACATACTCCTGAATACACTTGGCCTCTTAATTTAGTATCTTTGGGGACGATGTTCATGAGCGAGACAGGAAGGAGTAATTTGCCCTCCCCCAGGGCCATGGGTAAGTTATGCAGGTTGTATCCTATACAGTCCCACATGGGTGCTACTTACGTTGGAGTCTCTCTGAATGGAACCCCCAGAGCTATGCAGTGCATAACTGGCATAACAAAGCAGCCTGCCTACCCCCACCAATAAGATCAGCCATATGAACTGCACAAACAATGGCACAGCTGGAGCCTTCTGATTTATCACTGTTTCTAGGCACATTTACAGACAAAGTGTTAAGATCATGATTAGACACAAGTTCTGGAAAGAAGAAATGAAACACTAAGATAAATAAGCAAAAAAGAACAAGAGGTCTTTCTGAGCTTGCATTACCTTGAATGTTCACAGCCTCCTGCTGCCTTTCTAGGAAGTGCCCCCTTGTTTGTTACTGGGGTTTTACAGCCAATTGGGGAACTAGTTGATAAACCCTGGACAGAAATAGAAACTCTACAAGAAGTGAAACCAAGTGCCATCCAAGAATGAAACCACAACCCATCACATGAGATGCCCATGTCATCACCTGGCCCACGGACAGGGAAGCAAATATATTGATGACCTGGTCCAGCCGCCTGACTGCTGTGCTCATCTCTGGAAGTGGGAGGAAGGAAACATTGCAACTCAGTGGAGGAGACCGTCCCCTGGTGAATTTCCCATCATGCACTTGCTGGGGTTGCCATCCAGGGCCTGGGTACGTGTCAGTGACAGAGAAGATGTTCTCTGGTTGAGTTATAGGTTAATACTAGGATTTCAACCTGAAAAAACCTGCAAGGTCAGTTCTGTTGGAGCTCAAATGATTAACAGATTAGTATACTAGCAAGACTAGGGGACTTGGAGCTAATTATTTATTCTGACACCCATCTCAGTACTTCTGCCCATCAAGCCCCACTCTCCTAACAAATCCATCAATATTCAACTGGGCGTGGTGCACAGTGCCTGTAATCCCAACACTGTGGGAGGCAGAGGCAGGATGATCATACATTAAAGCCCAACCTGTGCAACTCAGTGACTTAGGGAGACTCTGTCTCAGATTTTTTAAAAAGAGCTATGGATGTAGCTTAGTGAAAAGGCCCTGGGATCAATCCCAGTACCAATAATAATAATAATAATAATAACTTTAATACCCTCTATTCAAACTGATATGTAATGGTGGGAGCAGGTGACAGGGGAGGAAGAGGAAAGAATGAATGCTTACTCTGTTCCAGACCCATAGTTCCAAGCCTTCTACCTATTTTCATCTTACTTAATCCTCAGAACAACTCTAAGAGGTTAATAGTGTATTTCCCTTTTGCAAATTAGGAAACTGAGGCACACAGAGGTAAACATATTTGCTCAGAATCAGAGAGGGAAAATGGTAGATCTGAGATTCAAACCTAGGCAGTCTGAAGCCAATGTGTTGGTACACACTTGTAATCCCAGCACTCTGGGAGGCTGAGGCAGGAAGACTGCAATTCAAATCCAATCTGGGGAATTTACCAATTTAGTGAGATCTTGTCTCAAAAAAGGGGGGGGGAGGCTGGAGCTGTAAGTCAGTGTGAAGGCCCTGGGTTCAATCCCCAGTACCCCTTTTCCCCACAGCCCCTGAAAAGACAAATCCTGACTCCAAAACTATTCTCTGAACTCTTCCACCATCACGGAAGAATATATTTACTGAATCATTTAAGAAATTGTAATGAACTTGAACCACAATCCATGGTTTATCTTCAATTTCTTTCAAATTAATTAAGAGACTAGGAAGAGTTTCTTTATCCGGAGGCAGAGGACATCTAAAACATTATGTCACCCAGCTTTTATTCACATAGCCGATTTATTGTGGGTGGTGTTATTTAGCCTCAGTACATCTAAATACATGCTATTAAAAGAAGAAAACATGATTATAAGGGGCTTCTCCTCTTTGTAAGGTATGTATTTTAGTAGACTCCTCCTGAATAGCTTCCTTTATCCTGGCCCTCAATACTCATGCTCATCTTCTAGTAGAGAGAACCAACTGCAGAAGCACAGGACAGGACTGGACATTTGTTTTACATCGGCAACTTGAATAGATTACAGTGTGAACAATCCACGTTTGGTAAATGGAAGAAACAACAAAGATGTCAGATTATTCTATTGAGCATCATTATTGGAAAAGCATTTTTTTCTTCCTCTAATATCAGTGATAATCAACAACCACATTGGGAGGGTAGTTTTTGTTTGGGAAGCTGGAAGCTTATCACTGGTCAGAATTAAGAAAAAAATTTTTTGTACCAGGAATCAAACTCAGGACCTTGTGCTTGGCAGGCAGGTGCTGCACAGCTGAGCTACAGCCCAGCCCTTAATTAATCTTTAGTTTGCTTATTTTCCAGGTCTAAAATTGCCAAGGAACTTCTGCAAATGAAAGTGTGTGGAGAGCAGTGTGTGGAGAGTGGTGTTAGCCAAAGAGGCTCCATTTTGAATCTTACCCTCCACTGTATAGAGCAAGGAGACTATGTTATGAGGAACCGCGTCCTTGCCAAATTAGATTGCCCTGGAACGTGATGAACGTTCTGTAACCCCGAGAAACAAGGAAGCCCATGAGGGTGGGGAATTCCCAAAGAACTAGAAAACAAGGAAGCAGGTGTCTCTGGATAAGGGTCATGATTAACAACCAAACTCACCTGTTGTATAAAAGAGAGGAGAAAAATAAACTTGGGTGCTCGGTCTCTGGGAGCCCTCTCGACTCTATCTCTTTGTCTTTATTTTTCTTCATCTTCACTCCCCCGTTCAGGTACTGTTTGACAAGGGACGGCGGGCTCCGTCAAAAGTGCAGCCTATGTAGGCTTCCCACAGTGGCAAGGGCAACCGTTTCTTAGGCACTTCTGTGTGCAGATACAGTGTTAAGCACTTTACAAATCCTGTATCTCACAGGATCCTTCCCACACTGAGCTGTGTGTTTCTCCCATTCTACAGTTAAGGAAAGTCAAGTCCTGACAGATTAGGTATCTCACCCCAGGACATACAGCTGGTAGGAGGCACAGCTGAATTGCATTCAAACCCAAACCATTCTTTACGCTGTGTGACACTACCTCTCTCAGAGCCCTGAATGGCCCATCCGCATCCACTCTCCACTTCTCAACTGATCAGAGGCCCAGGAGGCCCAGGGCTGCACTGCTCACCAGCCAGCTGGCCTCTGTTGTCCCCCGTGATGCTCACAATCCAGTCCCTCTGAATGGTGATGGTCAGCGCTGTGCCAGCCAGGTTCGCCACAGCCTCCAGGGTGATGACCACTGCATAGCAGGCCACCTACTGAAGGAAGCAGACTATGGAGCCCAAAATAGTCTTCCCCAGCCCCCAGGGGCACACATAGTTATTTATCTGAGAGAGAGAGAGAGAAATGCTCAGTGAAGTCTGGAGCCAATGTTGTGCTAACCCTCAGCACTTTCTTCCTCTCGCTCCATTACACCAGATCTGATGCTAATTTGTACCTTGCAGACCAACTCAGCGGTTCTGTTGCCTCCTTGTCTGTGGGATTTGGACTCAGATTCACAAATCTGGGATGAGGAAAGCACTGGCAAAAGATCAGCCAGGGCACAAACTGAGATGAGCCCCCCACCCCCCCCAGCATTCTGGCTGCCTGTGGCATTTGGCTGTCGTTGTGGCATGGGAGAGAGAAGGGGGCACTCACAGTGAACCAGCCATGCCACATTTGGTCCATCTCCCTTCTGTAGGAAAACATGAGCATCAGGACCACGCAGCAGGCGGTGACAGAACCATTCCGGATGAAGAGCGCCGCGTGAGCCACTGCGAATGGAAATGGCCAGGGGCCCAATATTTACTCTCAGCTTTAAGAGGCAGGTCACAGACACATCATCCTTCAGTGCAGAGCTACTGCATTTGACCAAATCCCCATGTCAACCAGCCAACAGGCTAGTCTTTTCCATCAGCAATTGGAGGCTTCAGTAGGAAGCAAAGAGCAGCTTTGCAGCTAAGGGAAAAGACTTTACAACCCAAAGAAAAGAAAAGCTGGACTTTGCAAAGGAATTAAAACAGACTCTGAGAGTAGAATAATATGAAAAGCCATACTCCAGCTGAATGAAGGAACTTGACATTTTCTACTGCTATATCTGATTCTGCTGGATTGAATTCATGGTGGAACATATCAATTGGGCCTAAGGAATAACATTCCAGAATTTTGTTTTCTTTGAGACAGTGTCTCACTATGTAGCCCAGGTTGGGCTTGAACTTGTGGTCCTCCTGCCTCAGCCTCTCCCCTACAGCAATATGCCACTAATCCTGGCTCCCAATTTTAAATAAATTAGGCTTATCCATGAAATTGCTTAGCAAATGCCTTTCCCAGGCCCCTGGGTATAATAAAAACAGTCATGTTGACTAGAAATCAAAAGAATAGGACAACTGAGGAAATCCCACATTTTTATTGGACAAAGGAGGTATACAAAGATATTATAGCCAAAAGCTAAAAGGAGATCTACCTTTGAATAAATAAGCCTTCAGATTTAAATTCCTAGTTATTTGGAATACCTGATAGAAAATCTTTTTGGGGAAGAGGGTACAAAATCTGTTACACACAGAAATTGCATTGATATGTGTAACACAAGTGTTATTATACATGGGTAACATCAGAATATTAAAAAGAAAGTGCGTTTTTCAGGAATTTTAAACTAAAAACTTGTATTTAGAATCCAAAAACCTCAGTAAAGGGCTGAGCGTGTAGCTCAGTGTTAGAACACTTACAGAGCATGTATGAGGTTCTGTGTTCAATCCTTCGCATCGCAAAAACAAAGGAAAAACCACATTAAAGTATTTTAAATATAGCACAAGAGAATATGACACAACTCTTTTCCTAGAGTTTTCAAGTTATGCTGTATGGTAATTTAGCTCAAATTTGTAATTTTATTTCACTAAATAAACCAAAAAAGCTAATGAGGTCACGGTGTACCACATAATCATATAAATCGGAAATAAGACTATTACCTTTATTTCTTGGTTTCCTGTCAATCCAATCTCCAATTAAGACTCCAAATATTAATACAGATCCAGCTACTACTAATCCAAACACCGCTGTTAGGAGAAGATTATGTCCATATAATTCTATCAGAAACACACACATGGCAAAGTGCCACGTTCGGTCTCCCTGCAAGGCAGTAGAGGCAAAGCATGCTTTAATCATTGACTAAAAGATAGGATCAGGTTGAAATCCAGAAAGATGCATTTCTCCCAAAGAACGTGTAATATGTACACTTTACAAACAATGTCAAAATGATACTTCTATTCAGTACAACTATAACAACACACAATTTATTCATAACTTTAAAAAGCTGGGAAGAATATTTGTTAAAATCTTTTTTTTGGTACTGGGGATCGAACCCGGGACCTTGCGCTTTTGAGGCAGGCGCCGGAAACACTGAGCTAAATCCCGGCCCCTTGTTAAAATCTTAAAAGCATCAAAGAGTCAATAAATTAATGAGAAAATATCAAACAAACAACTTGGGAAACATGAAAACCCGAAGAAGTGAAAAGGAAGATACCCTGAGGATATTTGTTGATCAGAGGCAACATCTGCGAAATAGAACTGCAGTTTTGGTGGCCTCAGAAAACCAGATGAAAGAAATCCATTCTACCAAAGATAAGAACTAGCTTTAAGCTGAGATTCCATGAAAACCAGAAACAAGCCAGCCCCTGTTTGGGCTCATAATCTAGATGGTTCGGGAAATCCTAAGCATTGAACATGAGCTAAAGTCCCTTCACTGACCAGTGTTATCACTTCCATCAACAAGTGCAGGCTTAAGTTAGACGCAAATGGCTAGGCCCCACTCCGTATCTGGGAGAAGGCAATTAAAATCCTCTCCAGGGCCGAGGATTTAGCCCAGTGGTTCCACCGCCTACCTTGCAAGCGCAAGGACCCAAGCTCAATGCTTGGTACAAAAAAAAAAGAAATTGAAAATCCTCTCCAAAAGAACAGGCTATTACCATAGGCTTCTGAGGACTGTTGCAATAATTTTTAAGTATAATGCTCAGCACACAGTCAAGAATAACCTATCATATAAGGAAATGGAGCACCATGAACAAAATCTACAATAAATAAAAAACAGTAGAGACAGACCCACTGAAACTTCAGGTATCGAGCTCATCAGACCACAGCTGTAAAACAGTAATAATAATTACTATATCCAGAGACAATCTGAACAGGGATGGAAAACAATAGAGTGGCATGGGCACTTTGAAGGAAAAACTAAATAAAAATTTTAGGACTAAAAAATATAGCAATACGAGTAAAAACTAAACATTCAGTTGATAGGTTCTAGCAAATTAGACATAACTAAAAAAAATCAGTTAATTGCAAACATCTGAAGAAGCTCAGAAAGACAAGAATGAGAAGGATGATAAGAAGATGAAAAAAGGAAAAAAGAAACACACTGATGGCTGGATAATAGAAAACAAAATAATAAGGTAGATTTAGCTTACATATATCATGTTATCATTAGGTATAAATGAACTAACTTTTCTGGTTAAAGAATAAAGATCGACAAATTGAATTTTAAAATATGCCACTTAAAGTTTTGTTTTTGCATTTAGTACTACTAGAGAATGAACCCAGAGCATTTGTACAGAGTTACGGTCCCAAGCCTCTTTTTTATTCTTAATTTTGAGACAGGGCCTTGCTAAGTCACTAAATTGCTCAGGCTGAACTTGAACTTGCAATCCTTCTGCCTCCACCTCTCAGACTGCTAGGATTACAGGCATGTTCCATCATCCCCAATAAAGAAAAATATTTTTTAAGTATAATAAAGAGCCAAAATAAAACAATGGATAATGATATATCATGCAAATGCTAACCAAAAGGAATCCAAGTCACTTAAATTAATATCAAAGTAGACTCTAAGGCAAAAAGGATTACTTGAAATAAAGAGGATTTCTTTTAACGATAAAAGCTCAATTCATCATAAAGATATAAAAAATTCCAATTTTCTATGTACCTATAACAAAGGCTCAAATACATGACACAAAATGTACAGAATTAAAATGAAAACTAGACAATCATTGGGGGAGATATTAAGTCACCACCTCTCTTTTTGTAATTGATAGAACAAGCAAACATATAAATACATTTTAAATGTAAGTGTGTTCATTCAACCCAAAGTTTACATTGAAACACTACACTCAATAACCTCACAATAGCATCATTTTAAGCACATGAAACATTTGTAGAAATTAGCCATAAAATGAATTGAGAAAAATCTTAGTTTCAGCATATTGAAACTATACGGAAGATGCTTTCTGACCTCAAGACAATTAAGTTAAAACTAACGGAAACAAAAACCAGAAATTTAGTTTAAACTGAATTTCCTCATATTTGTAAATTAAGGAATATATTTCTAAGTAATCCATAGGTCTAATCAGCAATCACAAAAGACATATTTTTAACAAAGCATATCTAAAGCATATCCAGTGCAGTTTTGCACTGCCTAAAGAGAAACCTGTGGCCTTAAGTAGATATACTAGAGAAAAAAAAGGCTGAGGGGCCGGGATTTAGCTCAGTGGTTCTGGCGGCTGTCTCGCAAGCACAAGGTCCCAAGTTCGATCCCCGGTACCACAAAAAAAAAAAAAAAA